AATGGAAGTCGAATGTGGGGACGCATTTCCTGGAAAGGGATTGCTTGAAACCGAAGAAACAACTAATTGATCTTTTTTTTTGGAGATTCCCATTTTTCAAAGATGATTCTGGGAGCTGAAACTCAAGGGATTTCATTATCGTAAATGTTTGTCCTAAAGTCCACAGCGATTAAATTCGTAAAATGACACGTGCTTTTATTCCGTGTATTTTTTTACGACATAATAATGCTAGTTATTCAAGCCCGAAAAAGTTGTTTCAACGAAATTGCGTCTATTTCGATGATGAAAATGCGATTTCGATTGTAATTACATGATGAAGGGACAAGGATGGCTGAAACAAAGGGCAGAATGTTACAGATTAATTGAGCGTAAAACACGACAATATTGAAATGTCCGTCAAACGTGCAAACGCAGATGTTTGCACAGGGTATCCAATGCTCCAAACTTCGACTGTTGTGCCGATAATAGTGAAATAGTGAAACCTAGAAATCTGGTCGATTTCTCAAATAACCACGATAGATTTCAACAATAGGTTGGAGTGAGGTATTGGTTGGGACTGTACACTGGCCAATTTCAGCGAACTTCAAGAAACAGCATCATCCTGGATCTGTCCATCTTCACAAGGCTCTCCAACATGCAGGCTGCAGTATCCCTAGTTTTCTAGCAGTCGTGTTACAAATAATGATATGAGGCTGGGAAAGCTTATAGGATTGGTAGAATAGGGCCAATAGGGGTTAGAGAAAGGTTAAACCTTCTAGACCTTGGCTTTTCGGAACCCTTTCACAACCCTTGTCTACAGTTCTAGCAAAATGGAAATGTTTTCCTTTATGGTGACGATTTGTTCAAGTCTTCACTAAACTTCCCAAACTCCCCAGGAAGACGAAAATGCCTTGTACCCTCCTACTAAATCTGTACTTGTAGCTATTCGTATTGGGTAGTGGGTAGTTCAATGGTGTAGTTGTCAGGGCCAGCATATTGGTGAAGCCCGGAGTGTAACAGTCCCACCCGAAGGGTGATAGACTTAGGCAGCAGGCTTAACTCTGAAAACTTCAGAATCGCATACTCCGAATATGTTGGGACTGAAAGACCCCGTTATGTGCAGTATATGAAACAGGAATTTTCCAAACTCTTCTTCCTATTATATAGAGAGAACTGCGGACTTATTAGCTGAAATATGTCTCTTCAGGTCAAAGGACGGGAATTCCGCGTATGGAGAGTTGTAGATTGTGCAGAAAACACCACAAGAAACTCGTCGTACCTGTCGCATCCTTTCGCCGCTCACCGCACGCGGAAAAATTGCATTTTGATTGAGCGATTGGTATTTAGCTGGTGTCACCTCAACTGTAAACATTGTCAAAGGATGGTAGGCCTGATTTCGGGCACCCCTATCTACGTTTTCCGAATCCCGTTCATACTTACAGCCCTACTTTAGCTTACATTAGTATGCCTTACCTCTACTGCTACAGTATAATCAACCAAGGGGGGAATACTTTTTATCCTGAATTCTTGGGACTGCAGCCTTCTGGTGGCTATTCCTAGAGGATGCAGCAACTGACGTGTACAAATTGTAATTGGAATCCACTTTGGAAGCAGATGGTGACTGACAGTGATGAGCCGAAATTAGAATTTGCTGAATGCGAATTACTACTGAAGCATTAGTCGCCTTCGAAGGAATACTCAATCAGAATTAAGTGAATACCTTTCTTTTTGAGTGTGAACTCTAACTAAGATGTTGGAAATAAATTAAAAGCATAGTACTTCAGATAATAACTTACTGGAAATCATTCCAAAAAATTTGTTTCTAGTTATAATAGTGATTAATTCATGCGCACATGGAATTTCGCTGGCCTTCTCACACCAGCTAGCGCTTGACAAACTGGTTGGAATTAATTCCTTACAATAAGAGTGATGGAAGATTTTTCCAGGAGAGGGAGAAGATTGAACATCACTATGATAAAATCACTCAAAAAGATTTTTAAATTAGAAGGATTGTGTTCAGATGTCAGTCCGTTTGATGAAATGCGACAGATCACTTCAAGATTCTTCCTGGTCTAGTGAACGGCCCAATTATCTCATTTAGTTCCAGGGAAAAAGCAAAGGCCATAGATACCACAAGAAAAAAGGCTGACTGAGCAAGTAAAGTGGGAGAGCTGAGGGATGGAAGGCGTAAAAGCTCCAAAAAGCAAATGCCCTATTTTTTAATCCAGGAACAATGGCCCGTATTCGTAGAACAACTTGATGACCACCACCTTGGGGCGAAAAACCAAAGCCAACTAATGGCGCCTGGCAATTTTTTTGCAACAGTATTTACTGAAAGACTAAAAGATTCGAGGATCGAAATGCTTCCTGAACTTAAGAACCGTATTCAAAAGTTCAGAATGTTAGAAGGCAAAGTTAGGAAAACTCCACGGCCGGTAACTTCGGTGCTCGGTTCCCGAGTTGTCCTTTTATCTAATAAGATTAGTAATTTGTCAAGAAAACTAATTCAAAATTCATTGACCGAAAGAACACTTTTCACTCTCGAAATAAAAATGAAAATTGTATTTGAAGTTCCTCTGAAATGCATTTCTCCAACTTGGGCTTTCTCCGATATCAGAATGATCTTTTCCAGGTAGCCAACCTATTGAGAAAGCAAAAAAACAATGAATTAATCAAAAGATTATCAGACGGTCAGCGATATGAAACTCCAGTACTGTTACAGATCAATCTCAAATTCAAATAATTTTACAAAAGTAGGGGGTAATACAAATATTTTCACCCTACACTTGTAATAACTCCCCAATTATTCCTCATTCAAGCAGGAAGAGGTATTTTTCGATGTTTTTCTTGAACAGCACCATTGCTATCTCCCTCCGAAGATTGCCGTCACACCCATATGTAGGTGGTTATTAATGAGAAGCTGTAACTACATCTTGTTAAATGGAATTGACGTCACTGAGAACATTCGAGTCCTACGCTACACTAGAAGAAGGGACAGGAAGTGAGTAAACATCCATCACCTGTTCGTCATATACTCAGCCGGAACTTCCTCACCAAGAAAATGCGTTGGTGGACTCAAAAGCCTGCCACCTGATAGGCTCTGGAACGGGTTCGAATTCCTCAGATGCCTTCCTTTTACCAGGGCCCCAGTATGCCTGAGCAGCACATTCTTATTTAACTGCTCAGTGTTACTTGGCAAAGTAAAATGTAATCTACACACTTGTTCTAACCTTTCTGGTTACTGCGGGTCCCTATAGGGTGAATTGGACGCAAGAACAATTAAATGACCGGGAGATGAGTTAGAGAAACTAGAAATTGGATTTAAAAATCACGATAGAACTGCATGCCAAAAATGGAATTTTCTCACATCATTCTGGTCAGTAAAGCCCCGTCGTAATGCTGGATCGCAGCTGTCACTCTTGCTTGTCACTTTGGTTCAGTTCGGAAGCCTCCGCTGATCCCTCACGGAGTAGTAGGATTCCTCGCGTGGGAGGTTCAGGCGGAACAAAATGTGTTCCGCCAACGCACTGATAAGAAACACTTGGGAAGCATGACTCGGGGGAGAAGTCTCGAAAAAATCGCTACTGCATGAGAATAAAAATTTACAGTCTGGACACAGCCAACCTTATAAAAGATTAAAATAAGCAGCGAATATGGGTAATAATTGGTCACAATAAGATGATCTACAAGTTCACTTTCTTCTAAGTTGCAGTAGTTTTGAAGGAGTACCAAACCTTTTTGGTTACTGCGAGTCCAACCGGTTTTGTTGAAGTGATGGACCGGGATGTTGCACTGAGCTAAAACATTGTAGGATCCGATCCAATCCACAGGTGTAGGTAGCAGTGGCACCGACTGCAGCAGCATTGGAAGTTCATTTGCATTATGAACAAAACCTCAGATTGCAAGATAGGTAATCTATCAAATCCTAAATCTTTCAAATTATTTGTTTTTAGTGAATGGGCACTATTCTTGCCAGTTAAAACTTATTGAATTGCTTTGCACTTGTGAGCCTCTGCAGCCTTTACAAAGGCATACTGTAGATTAGAAGTAGGCGTAAATTCACAGAGATGTTTCCATGTACCCACGCAACAACGCAGATTACTGGAATCGTTTTTGTACGACTTATAAGGCATACTTGTTAGCAATCCAAACTCAAGACATCTTTCCGAGCGAGTTACCACAGTCTTAGAGGATGAGCGACAAATGCTTTCACAACGACATTTCTCGTCTCCAATATCCGGAGTAACTGACCCTTCAGAAAAGCAGTTCTTTTGAAGTCCAATAACAGTAAATTTGTAGGTAAGGAAGCAGTACGATGTGTTGCATGGAAGTTCTGGGCCTAATCTGCTGTCCTAATGGATTCCCCAGTCCTCATTTTAACTGATTCTCCCCATCATCATTCAAAATGATAGAAGCCTAGCTTCTTCACTGTAAGCCAATTCTATTTCAGGATGCGCTCAGACCCATTCAAAGTCACAATGTTCGCTGGTTGAATGCGTAATGCGTCTTCACAATGAGTTGCGGTAGCGAACAACTTTAGAAGTCTGTGTTTCCTTCCTTTCACAAGCACTGCTTTCAACTCGACAAGGGGAATGGAACGCTCTGTTGCCACAGACAGTCGACAACCACCTACATATACCTACAACGGAACAGCATTATGTTGAAATCGGCCTTATACCACATATCGCATCAATTGGATCATCACTTTGGCAATCATTTTGAAATATACTGACAGAATAACGATCACTACTACCGTGGTGTAGGTACACCGGTACCTTTAACAAAAGTCTATGAATAGAGGAAAAGGTCATGGTACGTTATGCTTTTCTTAGCGGTGTTATCTTAACAGCATATGAAAAAGAAAGAACGGAGGTAATGATGAATACATGAAAGCGAGTACATCAGTGGTATCTTTTATTTGTAGTTGAGAGAAATAAGGAACCACACGAATAATTATTTAGATTAAGCTTGATGACCACGCATTCTTCATACATTTCAGTCAAGTCACTGATCGACAGAGATTAAACTGGCTTGTAATCAAGTTTCGTTTCAAGCTTCTTCGCATCTCCGACCTGAAATCGTTAGCACATCAAAACACGAACCTGGCATTTCCTCAGATAGGAATAGAAGTCAAATTAATCTCATTCGGTACAAAAATCACTTCTGCAATGGAGCGATTCAAAACTCAAAGAAACGAGTGATAACAGACCTTTCGAACGGCTTTCATAAAGTCTTCTTCAATAACATATTCTCGTTCGGCTCTGATCGCATACAGACCTTAAGTCAATGGTTCGAGTTAGTTTTGAAAAGCTGCATTCCTGAATGGAATGAAAATGACTCACCAGCTTCAGTGCAAACATTTCGCAAATCTGCACAGGAGAATCCATCAGACAACTTAACGACTGCTTCATAATCGATATCACCATGTTTGGTAATTGGATTCGCATGAATCTTCAGGACCTTAACAGAAAGCGAGATCAAACTAAAGAACATTTTCATGACGAATGGATTAGTGAAAATATTCGACATACCTCAAGTCTGGCTTGTTCGTTGGGCAACGGAATTTCAACCTTACGATCAAGACGTCCAGGACGCAAAAGAGCAGGATCCAAAGTATCAGGCCGGTTTGTTGCCATAATGACCTAGAGAAAATGCTGAAGGTGAAGAGAAATAAAGTAAAAAACCGTTTCAGGCAAGATGACGGTAATATGATCCATATAATTAATGGATAAAGCGAAGATGACCCTCACTTTGACTTTTCCTAACGAATCAAAACCATCCAGTTGATTGAGCAGTTCCATCAACGTTCGCTGGATTTCACGATCAGCCGAAGTACCCTCGGAGAACCGTCGGCCACCTGAGCGTCAACTACTTATTCTACAATGTACATATACAGATTGAAAAATAAAGGAACAATAGGTAAAATGGAAGGATGATTAAATGATAGCGCAATCCGTAACAACCATATATTCCTTTCTACCCATCATTATAGGTAAGACTTGAGTCAAACATTAAGAAAGGTTGAAATCAATGAAAATCAAAGAACGATGTGTACATTCAGAAGCTTCTCCAGAAAAATTTATACCTAACGAGCGCACTTTTCAATTGAACAACTTTTCATCAACTTCAAAAACCTTGGACGGTCAATTTTGCTTCTAGCATGGTTCAAAAGCATGCTATCAAATATTTTGAGATAAGCGAGACAAAGTGAATGACTCAATGAAGACAGAAAAAGAGAACTCATTATTGACTAAAGTTAAATTATGTAGCAATTTAGCTTACCAATGGCATCGATTTCGTCCATGAATACAATACAGGGCTGATGATCACGAGCATAATTAAACATTTCACGGATCATTCGAGCAGATTCGCCGATATACTTGTCGACAATAGCAGAGGAAACCACTTTCAGGAAATTACAATCCAACTGAGAAGCTACAGCCCTGAAACGCAAGATGAAGAGATGATGATGAAAATTGTTTGAGTTGCAACTGATGATATATAGAAATTCCTTATGAGCATTTGAAAATGCGACCAACCTGGCAAGAAGAGTTTTGCCTGTCCCAGGAGGCCCATATAACAGGCAACCTTTAGGGGGAGTTATACCAACACGACGAAACAGTTCAGGATTGATCAATGGTAATTCGACAACCTAAATGAGGTAACTGATGCAACAGCTCAGAGAATGCGAACTGAGATTACGCTGTCCTATTTAACTTAGAAATGGTAATTCTGACAATAATTGCTAAGATAAGTTGTCAAAAATAAGGCTGGGCTTAAATTGTACAAGAGAACCAACGAGAGAATTTCCAGGTTTAAACTCTACAAGATAAAAACGTCATGTTTTACAATTTGCGAAAGCGTTTCTCAAAATTACCTCTCGAAGTTCACGAATTTGCTCTGCAAGGCCACCGACATCAGCATAAGTAATGTTACCCGGGTCTTCGTGTGACATTTTATAAACCAAGGGATCCACTTCTCGAGGTAGCTGGCGCCTATAATTTCCAAAGTTATTGTCAGTCAGTCAGACACTCACCCAAAGTCTTCCAGAAAAGAGAAAGTTATAGGACTATAAATATATACATGATAGTGAGGGTAGTCATATCCAAAGCTACTCTGGTACCCTGCTTGAGAGCTTCTTTGTTGATCGATCGTCGGCAGCCAACGACGTATCTAGGTCCGTTGGTGGCCTTAAATTGTATTTGGGTAAAACAATAGTAGAGCAGAAAAGAAGTTGAACATCTGGTCACAGTCGCCTAACCTTAACGATGAATTTCTCCTCAGTGAGTTGTTTGAGAACTTCACCAACGATCTGACCAACTGACTGTAGCGATTTGATATCATTTTCAGATTTGTCGAAACTCTTTTGGGTTTCGGCTTCCTGAAAACACAACAAATGGGTGAAAACAGTAATATCTACACTTCTGCCTTATTGGTTCGAGGTGAATGTGGGAAGGCATAATTTGGACTTTAGTGGACAAGAAAACACTCGATAGCTCAACTTATCAATATTTGTGAGAAAGTTTGTTGCAAAAAGTAACGTTAAATAGTTACCGGAAAGAATAATACTAAAATTCTCGTCCGTTTGAGGCAAAAGCTATAATGAGGGAATCAGAAGTCGAAAATCCATCAACTCTGTCGCAAACCTTCTTTCGCAGCTGTTTCAGTTGCTGTTCAATGTCTCGGTACTCTACCAGTTTCTTCCTGTAGTTAGTAAGCGCACGGGTTTTTTCATCCTCGACTGGAGCAACGACTGCCGGACCTGTTGACTCGACCATCCTGTAATGAAATGAAACTTACTTCAGAATGACTCGTAACACAGGAATGATCAGGATAAGACCGAACCCTGTAACCGCGATGAACTCAACACCTCAACAACAATTTGCTAAAAAATTCTACAGAATTTTTTCATACAACTGTAGGAAAAAAACGTAACACCGGGACTCCAATAAGCTTGAAAGCAAAAGCGAAATTATAAGCCCTCTGAGTTAAAGGGCGCTGTCATCACTAGCATTACAGTAATATTTCGCACTGGAGCGCGGCAACTGCAACGATACGCACTATGGCAGTTAGAGTGTAGAGGTGCACCCAACCAAGTACAACGTTTTCTATGAAGATTTATTGAACTGCACCTTTGTGATGCATTATAAGTATCGTTATATTAAGATATCTCAAGTTTTCATCATCGCCCTTCTTTTTGCATCAGTTCATATTTTACTGTTTAGTGCCTCGGTTAGATTTTGTTTGTGGAGGTTCAGACGTGTTGACGTTTCCTTAGCTCTCTAAATGGATTTTTTATTGTTTGTTTAGTTGTTTGTCTGTTCGCTACTCTTTTGTTGTCTTCAGAGACATGAAGATGGCTGAAATTCTCAAACCAGCTGCTATCCGAGTACACCCTCTTGGCTCTACTGCTTTCTTTGCCATTTCGTAACATCCCACCCAGAAAAACCGGGTATTCAGTCGACTGCACAGAGCGCTAGGTCACGTTCCTTGGTGGTTTTGTCAGTGTGAGCGAATGGGGCTCATTTGAGCCCTCGTGGCGCACAAACATTAAGTACGTAGGCTGCCTTTTATATTTTGAGATTTGGGAACAGAAACAAATATCGTTTATTGAAAATTGCTTTATTGCCTTTCAAAATTCTCCACATTAAGATCTATACACCTTTGCATGGGCTCGAACCAATTTTTGAAACACTTTTGCCACTTTGTGTAGGTAACTGTAAAACATGGATTCTGAATGCATCAACGGCTTCTTCAAGTGTCGAAAAACGTTGACCTCTCATTTTATTTTTTACGTGCGGGATGAGAAGAAGTCACCCGGGGACTACATGGCTGATGACCTGTCAAATCGTTGTTTTGAGTGCTCAAAAATGCAGTTGTTTGAGCCGATGGGTGGGAGCTCGCATTGTCGTGGTGAAGAGTGATCCCTCTTCAGCAGTTCGTTTCCTTGACTTTTTGG